TCCGAACTTATAGGGCGTTAAAATCGTATACAGAGCGTCATTCACGCTTTAGTCTTCGTTTGTTCAACAGACAGCGAAGCGAGCAAAATTAGACAGTACTGCGATGACATTACAATTTAAATTCAACGTTTTAGCTTTTTCATATTCCTTTACATGTCACTACGTTTAAATAGGTTGACTTGGGACATTTTTTTCGTGGTTTTTGTATTAGACCCGTCGTCCATTTATTTGTAAGTCAATGGTTGCAAGCATATTATGCACAGGTTTGCATAATGGATACTAATGTTCTATTTTTAAATGATATGTACGATTAATTGTACAAGGTTTATCGGGCCAGCGATAAGAGTATCTAAATTTTTTAAGAGTATTTAAATTTATTTTATTTAACAGGATCCAGACAGAAGTTAGACCGACATTATGTCAAGATTCTGGGTGTCTTTCTTTGTTCTCATTTGTACTTTTATACACGCTCGTCTATTCCGGGAGTGAATGGTACTGTTAATCACTCATACTTACTTAACAAACCACCGGCGGTCTTCGTCGTTGACTAGTCGATCTTGGTATACTCGCTGATGCTCGTGGTACCACAGTCTTATCACGTCATTTTCCTCCTACAACAATCGTGACGCGAGATCTTAAATCAAGTGTGAACTTTTGTATTTCGTATGCGCAACCAATGACATTTCTACGAGAACTCCTAATCATCTCTAGGAGACTTTTAATTTGTAAAGACTTGTATTATTTATTTTAATTTGCATTTCCGGTAGAAATTCCCAGATGTACGTTGCAAAAGTGCAGAGACATCTCTTCGAGTATCACTGATGTCGTCACATCGGTTTTTGCTGTAAGGGGAGGCTGAAAAATAAACCATTTCTGGTCCTAGATATGCGCTGGCTGAATGCGGTCTGCACGCTTTGCACACCAATGTTCTCAATGAAACCAATCTAAAAAAACTCACGGATTATCTTTGGACCATGTTTTCTATTTGTATCCTTTACAAGACCCCTGAAAATACTGCTGAGCTAGTACTCTAGTGGCACCACAGGGAAAAAAACAAGCTCAACAGGAATTTAAAGAACTACAGCGAATAATACTTGGTAAAGAATCACATTCACAACTTACTTTGATTTGATCAGGTTTCACCATCAATATGCCTTGAAAGACTTTACTCAAATCTCTCAAGTTGAAAGTGTAGTGAGACTTGGCGGGGGTTGGCAACAACTCCTCAACCATGCTGCTAAATATTTCGATGGAAGCCTTTAAGATGGGTTCTTCTCGGACTGTCACGTTGGATGCGAAGTTTTTAGTCCAAGATTTGAGAATCGTGCTGAAGATTGTGTACTGGAACGATAAAAACTCACATCCATATATCTATACGGATGGAATGGATGGAATGAAACAATGTAATTACCTATACTGTTACGAATTACACCTACACCAGTTAAGAATTTATTAATGTAGACACAACTCGAATCCACCCGAAGTAGGTATGTGAATTAGAATGTATGTAAATGGCTGGTTCTATTGTTATTTATTTTTTATTTCAAACTGTTAGTCAGTTTACCGAAGCCTACACATTTTTGCGCTAAAATAGCATGTTTGTTGGCTGCTGTGGGACATAAAATCTTAGATTTCTTGCCTAACTTTCCCAAGCCTTCAGTCTGAAACACTGCAGTGCTGCTTTGCGTTATGAAAATCTTGGGCGGGTTCATCACAAATAAAACAAAAGATAAGATATTCCTTCCTCTAGATTTTCAGACAGAATTTTGCACAATTTAAAATAAATCTGTATGTTTCTAGTACGCGAATTGAAAGTGACTCACGTGGCGAGGTTATATAGACTACCTAAATAAGTTGTTATTAAATTATGTCCTATTTAAGACGAGCAATTCACAAACGTTTGCAAAAGGACTATACTTTAATGGATCCAGACTCGTCAAATATCCAGGAAATGTTTTGCAGTAAGCTGTACCGTACCTCTTGTTTTGAACAGAAAACAGTCGCAGAGAGAGAGAGAGTTAACTCACGTAGGATAGGGCTTGTCACACATTAGAAAGACAGACTCATGGCTACGGAATATTGAAATAGTAATCGTGTAATCACCATAGACTACAAATGAGATGTGAAAGATGATACTAAAGACACAGTGAATGGATGCTCACTGCCCAAAATTATTGGCCTACAATAAACGATTTATTATAAAGTTTTATTGAATTGATATTCAATTATTTTTATGTGAAATATTTCCACTAGTTTGTCATAATTATTAATACAAAGATCGAACACTCAGAAAAAAATCCTTCGATCCGGTCGGATTCGAATCGACGTCTTCTAGCATACCGTGGCAGACGCTATACTAACTAAGCCACGGAACGAACTAGCGGACTTCACGAATTTTTCTATGTGCTTGTTGTTTTTCAACCACTTTTTAGACGTAGCGCCATGTATGAGAAATCTCTGAAAGTATTTCGTCAGCCAGTTAGACACCTTTACAGCTACCAGCCCCAACAAACTAGTGGAGTAATTTCACATAAAAATGATTTATTCCTTGAAAAATATTAAAGGAGATTAAGTATCTTTAATAGTTCCTGTAGGTTGGTTGGTGTGGCTGGATGTACCTTACTCGAATACTCCATCTCAGTAAAGGAAATGTAGTGAAAGTGCCTCATGAGCCGCATCGTAACGGGGTTGCGTCCGCCACCTGGCGGGCCCATGGCCGCCACGATGCCCACGTCCACCAGAAGGCGGAATTCGCCAATGTTTTGACGATCATACCAGCCTGCAACAAATCTCACGTGATATTTATTACAGCGCGATTTTGGTCCTCTCAAGTTTCTTTCAGTGGAAATTGGATTGGAATGGAATGGAGTCATGGATCATAAATGTTGTTGTTTATGATGCTAGTAATATAGCCCTGGGAGGTTGTTAGTATTTTAAAAATAACCCTTATATTTCTATAATCCAATTGGGACAATCCCTCTACCATTCCAAAGCTTTATCAACCATCTCGGTCACAAGAGTACGATAGGAGGAGGATTAAAGATGCACAAATCATCCTTCCTCCTTTGGTACATAGAAACAAAATTCCAACGAAAAATACCGACTTATTCAAGGAACAGCCACAATCACTTTCAACAATTCTTAACAGACCCGAGAAGTCCATGAACTGGCGGAGCAACTCGATGGGTGGCTGCGCGCCGTACACCTCGAGCGCGGGCATGTTGAGGTCGTCGATGAAGAACACCTGCCTCTTGGTGGGTGGCGGGCCAAACACGCCACGCTTGCGACGCTCCAGTTTGCCGTCTATTACGTCCTGACAATCGCCGCAAATAATAGAACATTTATTTTTATCAGTTCTGCCAGAACTTCTCAGTAACAAATCTGGTTTAAGGACAAAAGAATACTTGACTGAAGGCTTATGGGATAATATTGCCAGTGCAAAAAAAAAATGCAAAGACACACGATTATCCAAAAATTCTTAAGATGTTAAGCAGTATGTACCAAGACAGAAGAAGCAGATAGTTTTCTGTAGTTAGTTTAGTTTTTGGACGGACAAATCGTGCGTCTTATGGTAAGCTATTCAACCTGTCCATAACATTTGCATTGCCATTCAGAACTTTAAATGGCAAAAATTTCAGGGGCACTGCCACTGCGACCGTCACTCTGAGACAAGTCTCATGTGCCTGTAATTTCACCAGCAGCTTACGCAACACAGAAATGCTGACATTACTGCTTGGCGGCAGAAATAGGTAACGTGGCAGTACTTCCTTGGACGAACTCTTTGCCAAGGAGCTCTACTGCTACTTATAGTTGCTATTTCAATAAATCTATCTGATAATAATTGAAGAAACCTACATTCGCAAGTAGACAGCTCGCACATAATTATAAAAATGCTTGTAATTCTATTAGTATAAGTATTTAAAGATTACCTGCGTTTGATTGGATGACGTACGCGCAGAAAACACAATAAACTCGCAAATAAACTTTTTGTGTAGTCCCTTTGTGAGCTTGCTAGTTATGGTGACAGTCTTGCCGGTGCCGGTGGGCCCCACACAGATCACATGGTTGTAATTGGCGACCTTGTATCCGAGTAAAGCCGCGCTGCGGACGTTGTCCATTGTCGGTACCTCAATGTCTATTAAGAAAAAGTAAGTCAAGGAATCTTAGACAAAATTTCTAGTTGGTTTAAAAGTCTGTGTTCTAATCTTCCTCACAGATCTATTATTAAAAATACATTTTAAAAACTTGTCGGAATCCTATCAATCGATTTAGGAATTCTATGTAAATAATTTAAAAAAACGAAGAATTTCGGAGATATTGTTACTTTTATTTCTGCCTGGTATGCAGCTCTTTTACCATTCCAAATTCTTTCCCGTACATATAGACGTTATTAACCTGCATATTGCCACTCTGGGTCGACCACGTAACGCTCAAGATTGGCCATCCAGTTATACCAGAAAGGTGATGCCGGCTCGCCGTCCTCAGTAAGGTCTGTGAAGCCTCCGTCGTGGACACTACGTGCATGATATTTGTTAGTACAATTTTGTTGAACCCAAGATTATAGATGTCTTTTTTGAAGATGGAGTAAACTGACAATTCATTGCGCAAAAGTGTTGCCCGCTTGCGAGCAGTTAGTGATTGCAGTCGATTCTATCGACTATCGAGTAAATATTGGTCACGCTTATACTATAAATAGCTGAATTGTTTCATTTGAATCATCCTCGACCCATTTATTATCATGAAAAATACAAAGAGGAGATATATTTTGAAGTTTTTTATGTGTCATTTTAATTCTTGTTAAAATGTATATGAATAAAAATTTATTTAAATTAATTTAGATAAAGAAGATAACACAATTATTTATCATTAGAACGTCGTAACGTTCACAATTCAAATTTCACGATCTATCGATAAAACTATCGACAACGCATCGATATCGATTACGCAATCCTGTGAATACAAAGTTAAATAGCTGACGTATCTTTCAATACCCTGATTTTCATTAAATCACATTAATTCGAGAAAACCGTACCGTATCCAAATACAATTGATAGTCAAGCACAAAACGGAATACATAATCTGTATTGCATTTTAAAGGCCTATTTATATGAAGAGAGTTTCTCGTCTTGAAGACTCCATTATCGAAAGACATTATCAAATTCCTCGTGGGCGACAGTAGCCTCGCCATTGACCATTGAACGTCTTCGCTCAAACGCAACCACATCGTAGTAATCACTGAACTCGAATGGTATTACTTTCTCAAACTCGAATAAAGAGTTATTATTCAGGAGATGGCAAAACTTTTTATTTATTTTAAATTTCTTATCAAGGGTGTTAACTTGGATGCATTACTTTAAGAATATTGGGGAGAAATTAGCCTGGAAAATTTGTATATACAATAAATTTTTTGTATTTCAGTAAATTTGGACTTTAAGGTACGACTTTGAGAAACTAAGGCAACGATTTCGTACTAATGGACTAAGGATCGACACACAAGACTGCGATGCGATGTCACATCGCAGAATCTACGAGCTCGCATGACGCATCGCAAGAATTTGCGAATTGCTCCGCATCGTGTATTCCGGTGATGTTAATCTTCTCTGTGTTTTTTTCCTATGCCTCACAGCAGTGCTCTTTTTAACCGACTTCAAAAAAGGAGGAGGTTCTCAATTTGACTGTATGTTTTTTTGTATGTATGTTACGCGATAACTTCGGTATTTGTGAACCGATTTTCATGATTCTTTTTTTGTTGGAAAGGGGGTACTTCCATAGTGGTCCCATTTAATTTTGAAGTAAATCATCCATCTATAAGGGTGGCTGTTCACGCATGAAGATTCATTTTTATAAATAGCGTTTAAATTTTTTTAAGGAGCAATTATTTTAATGGTTGATTTTGCTATTTCTCCAATTCAAGGCGTTTTTCTCTCAATGTTCTTTGAGTAGTGAGAACCGATTTTTTATTATCTCTATTTCAGAATTTAAGGATATTTCAATAAAACTTAGCAAATAGACGTAATGCCACGTACTTTTGAGGCCGGTTTTTTTAATACTCTCTGCTGAGATTATTACGATCCATGTCGCTACCTAGTTTAAACCATACGTTGAGTATCGTTGACGACCGTCGAAGGAATAGTTACCCGAACTCTGAAATCGAATCGCAGCAATTCGCGTTGCATTTTTCTGCGTTGCGAATTCGCATCGCGCCGATTCGCTGTTTTGTGTTTCGACCCTTAGGTATACAAAATAGCATAAGTACTCGCATTTGCAGACACTAGGAGTAAAATTAAGAGGTTTCTTTCAATACTCACGTATAGTCATAAACGCGACCTTCCTTGGGGAATAGCGGCTTAAGATCGTTTTCGTTGGTAATTTGGCGGATGAAGTCAGAAAAGATAGCGCGTCCGTTGTGGTCGCATGTGGCGCCTATTGACCAGATCACGGCCCATACCACCCACACCGGCGCCAGCCGCGCTGCAGCGAATTGATACCGATAGTTTCGTTTCCGTGATCCCTACCGCCCCAGTGGGCGCAGAAGAGTATGGGGGCAGTAACCCTACTGCCCCGAAAGCAATTGGGGATCATGATGCTTTTTAAACAAATACCTAAATTATCTATATAAACTACTAGAATTTTATTCTTTGTGATTTTTTGTGTTAATATACAAGAAAAGTGTTTTCAATTAGTTATTATTATTTAGTGGTAATTTTAATTTTATTTATTTATTTGCGTGACATGGTAACCGTTCGGCCACGGAGGCAGTTATTAGGTTAGTTAGGCTATGATCTAAAAGTTGAAGATAATACGGAGGCAGTTATTAGGTTAGTTAGGCTATGATCTAAAAGTTGAAGATAATATTTGGTTTTTGAAAAGAGGAGTGATTGCCTGGATGGATGGAATGGATTAACTTTTGACATCAATGTTTTTTTTATAATAACAAGTGACGGGACGAACCAGTAACTGCCTCCGTGGCCGAACTTTTACCATGCCGGACTGCCACGCAGAGGTCCCAGGTTGGATTTCCGGACCGGGAGAAATATTTGTATGGCCTACATTTATTTCTCTCGTGAGTTTGGGTGTAATTTGTGGTAGTCTATATGTATGTCCATGGCACCCGCGACACAGGGTTTCCCTAGTGCGCGGCCATGTTGAGTGTGCGCGTTTAAAAAGAAAAGAAAAAAAGAAGTCAACAAACAAGATGGTAAGCTAAATGCCTGTCCATAATAATAGCAGTGCAAATCGTAAAGATCTGTGGGGCACTGCCGCTGCGCCCGACGCTGTAATTTCACCAGTACCCTTCAAAACCGAAACAAAATAATGCTTACATTACTGCTTGGCGGCAGAAATAGGTAAGATGGCAGTACTTCCCTGAACGAACATTCACAAGGAGCTCTACTGCTACTAAATGTTCATGATACTATAGAAAAAAAAAAAAAATATTTCTTTATTTCGGACTAAGTCCATAAGGGTTAGTAACAAAACACTTAAAAATAGGGTTAGTATTACAAATTGCTTATTTTACAATTTATTATTATAGGCCACAAAACCAATGTGCATCCTAGACCAGTGATCTAGGAAGCAACCCTGTACACGGTTTGCAATTATACTCAGGAGGTTGTTATCGCCGCCCCGAATCCTGCGCAACAAAGAAGCCGCCCTTTTTCGCATGATAGCTGAAAAGCCATCTAAGCGAGAGATATAAATGGTACGGTATATTTCCGTAACATTATTAATCTATCATTCCAAGTCGTTGCAAAATGTTCTTAAATTTTTGAGATGTTTCAACGCTTATTTATCATTTTGATGTAGCAGTGGAGCTCCTAACTGTTTCTGACGCCAAGCAGAGAATGTGAGCATTAGGTACTGCGTTTCGAAGGGTAAGGGTGCTGGTGAAATTTCAGGCACATGCTGCCAACTTATGTCTCAGAGTGACGGGCGCAGTGGCAGTTCCTCTCAGATCTTTGCGATTTAAAACTCTGAACGGCACTGTAGCTGGACAGGCGCGTCGCTTAAAAATATTAGCAGAACTAACTCTGAGTAAACTCAGCGCTTTAAATGAAATTTGGGTTTAATATACTAACGCATAAGCGCCAAGAAAGGTGGCCCTGGTGGCGGTCTATCATCCTTTCCAGTTAGCGGTCGCAGTCGATAGTCCAACAGCTCCAAGAACTTGAGCACTAACTGTGAGTCAATTGACGTTACGAGCTCGGTCAGTTTCGACCTTAGCAGTGTTAATGCAGGATACACATATGTGTTAATGAGATTAGGGAGAATCTTGCGGATATTGTCGGCCATCTGTCAAATATATTGTACTGTTATTGTATAAAATCATCGAGTATATAACCAGAAATGGAGATGAAATGTCATTTAATTTGTTTAAAAACCATTCTGCCAAATCATTACGGTGCCAACTGAGCCCTGATTGACCAGCCCGAATTCGAAACAATTGACGGGTATCGGCAATTGTTTCACTTCAAATCAACCAGTTAACTTGAGCTTTGCTATAATGGACGAAAACAGCAAAATTACATATCTAATATTTAATTTACTGATGAAATGTGATTCCGTTTGTTTTGTAATTAGATGTTTTGCTGTTTTTCCCACACCACCGAAATGACTAACGAGAGTTTGTTAGAAGCCCGAAGCCGAGGGCTTAGATTTTTAACGACTCGAGGTTTGTAATTTTTACCGCCCGTGCTACATACAATGGTTTTCATGACACTTGCGAGGAAATAGATACAACGATAATTTATTTATTTTATAAGTAAATATCGGTACACAACAGTATATTTATGGATTTTGTTAATGGCCGGTTTTTGCGTGTTTTTTTTTAAACAGATTGCCTGCTATTCTTCCATAGATAGGTACTCTCTTTACTCGATCTAAAATGTTACAATAAGCACAGACGCGTGCACCCAAAATGTATTAGATATAATATAAGTAATTTTCAAATTCTAGAAACACTGTAGAATTTGAATTCTCAAAAAAAATTTAGTAAAATATAGTTAAATTGCAAATATTTCGTTTTTTTTATATTTCAAATTTATGCGTTCAGATTTTTCGAGCATAAAAACGTTTTGCTTAATTTTAACGAAAAAATCCATAGAGCGATAATGTAATAAAAAGCCCGTGGACACAATTTGGTAAGTTACTGTCGATTTTGCCTGCATGTCATGACTCTGTTTATGAGCAAGTATGATGAAAAGAAATTAATGCTGCCACGTTCACAAACGTAATTAAAAAATACTAGCGACAGTCATGTCATTAATAATTTGGTGGCTCTGTAGCATTGAGTCTATTATTTTATTTCCATGTTCAACAATACAACTTGATACTTCGATTTGCAATTCCAAAATTCGCACTGGAAATGTTTAAAAGGTGAGTACGGTTACCTCTAGGCTATTAAAACAGGTTTTTTCCAAAGTAAGTTTGTGACATTCCTTTAAAGATACCTTTCAAAGCTTTCAGCTCTTGTAAGTTTAACTCTTGCAAAAAAAGTTTAACTACTTATAAAAGAAGTATCAGAAATACGGTGAAAAGGGATTATTCATAATATCGTCGCCAGACTTTCTCAAACTCGTACCTATCTTAAAGCACAAAGTTACTGAAGTGCAAAAAATGGATTGTTTATACAAATTTTGCAGGCTGATTTCACATTTCCTTCATATTCATACACTGGCTTTTACCTATTCCTATACCTATTGTGTATTAAAATGTCTTACCGGTGGTAAATTAGACTTCAACCAGGCATTAATCAGTGGAGGCAGTCCCACGACCTTCGTATCGACATAGACCATGCCGCATCGTGATACGGTGGCAGGAGAGGCCACGGCCAAGTCTGCCACTTCAAAGATCATCCTCTGACGGTCAGTCATCTTCATTATTTCTCCGCTCGATAAGCAGAGTTTCTTATTGTCGTCTAACACAGTGTTCATGTTTTCAATCCAGACGGCATCCACTGGCCCGTCGAACACGTACCAGCGCTTGTCCATGTCTTCTACTGCGATTCCCGCGCGGACCAAATTGGACAAAATGCCGTCGGTCCATTCATGCGTCTGCATGTCGAACTGTCCATACAACTGCCCCATGGTGATGGACTTGGGGTTGAGCGTGAACGTGTGCACGGGCGTGAAAGGGAATCCGTCTGGGGCGAGCTTGCCTTTGATTGCCGTTAGGGCGTCACGGAGTATTTCGTAGCACTTTGTTTTACCCGAGCCTGCAGGCCCAACCAGCATCAGACCGTGGCGCACCACAGTCGTCTCGTATAATTGAATGATCTTGAATATAAACGTGTAAAGGTCGTCATAACCGCGCTTTATAAGTTGATTGCGAATGGACGTCTCCATGATACCATAGTCTACTATGGGGATATCCACGCGCGGAAACAGATCCGATATTATACCATTGAATAACAAAAGATCGTCGGCCAGGAACTTGGGTACATTGACATCCCTCAACGAGCGCAGCACAATCTGCCGTTCGTCGCCATCGGGCATCTGCCGGATTAGGTTGCCTGCCACCGTGATCACGGTCTTCACTGCTCGCATGCCGAAATCGTAGTGATCTTGTGACGACAGCTGTTCTGAAGAGAGCCGAAATGTGGTAGTAATCTTGTTTGCTAGAACTTTGCCTTCGCTGAAGCCGAATGAGAAGAGCGAAATTTCGGCAATGAGTGTATAGTTAGGCACCATCATCGCGATCGGACGAAACAGTGCTTTAAGGTTGTCTGGTAACTCTGTACGACCAGCATAGCCCGGGTTCATAGTAATGAAGACTGAGCAGGAGGCCTTGAGTGGTAAATCAGTACCCTCAAACATGAAACGCTCTAAGCGAGCTATCTGGGCCTTTTGAATTGTTACAACCTGCTGTGCAATGACAGATAGCACTTCAATGTCGATTCTATTAAATTCGTCAAAGCATGCCCACGCACCGGACGCGGCGAGGCCTTTGAAGAACTTCCCCATGGCCATGTAGTCCAACTGATCTGAGCAGTTAAACACCACGCATTGCACTGCAAGTGCCTTTGCCAAATCCTTGGTAGTTTCGGTCTTGCCGGTTCCAGCGGGCCCGGCGGGTGCACCACCGAACTTCAAGTGCATGGCACACATCAGCGTCAAATAGCAGCGGTCCGTTAGCGGCGTGATCACCAGGCGACCGCTGTTTCCCAGATACTCGTTCTGGTACATGAAACAGGAGTTGAGCGCGCGTACATCGCAGCTGTTGAGGCTGAACTGGCGGTAATATGCCGAGGTATCAAGACGCTCCTCGTCTTGGTAGATCTCCGCAGATTCGCCTTCTTCTAGAGGATACGGGGCTTTTATTACTTCGTAGTATCGGAGCTGGCAAGTCCACTGGAAGTCCGTGATTGACTTGACACCCTCTTCAACGAGCATGCTGGTGACGTCGCGCGCGTGCACTTCGATTACGATTAATGCGCAGAGGATTTCACGCTGGAAGTAAGTCAATTCGCCCTTCACAAGGGCACGGAGACTGTCTAGGCAAGCCAGCATCTCGTAGTAGAATTCTTCGAGGCGATATTCCTTCAAAGACTCCTCCACCCCTGCCGTCCAGGCCACTTGGCTGCCTGCGATGACCACCTGACCCGGCCAGCGCAGCACCCACTGGTCACGCGGTATGCGCCAAAGTTCTTCCAGACCTTCCACCAGCGTCAGGCGAACCGAATGTCTCATTGTGTCTTCTAAAAGCAGCAGCCAGCATTCGACGTTAGAGCTCGGGTAGAATTTATATTTAAGGTCGACTATCTCACCCTCACTCGAGTGCATTTGCGTTATTTTTAGGTCATATTCGAACGTTACTTTGGCAATGTTCTCGAAGCATTTCCTTAAATGTGGCTGTACAGCTTTCGGATTTCTCGACTGAGACAAGATCTCCAGCAACTCATCATCGCTGAGGAAGAAGAATCGTGGAAACCGTAGTCGCTTAAGCTCCATATATTCGTTGAGGCCTTTGGATACTATTGATAAGAGGTGGCGTGCTTCGATTAAGCTGTCATAGAGACGACTATCAGGGCAGATTACCATCACTTTATTGCAAGAGAAAGCGGTGGTCATGATGCGACGCCAGATGCGCTCCATGGTTTGATACTTTTTCGTTTCCACGGGTAACTGCCGCGCAATATCCTCAGACGTGAAGATTGGCTCCAAATACATCCATTCCTTCTGGGCTTCTATCCACTGGTCAACAACCCTCTGTGTGAGCCGTAGTTTGTCCTCCCATTCCTGAATGCGTAGCTCGAAGGCAGCCTTGAAAGGGCTGAAACCAAGTTGTTGTGTCTGCAGGATATGCTCGTCGAGAAGCTGAAGTGTTTCGTCTGCAATCTTCATTATGTAGGTACCTTTAGAAAATGGTATAATTATGAAAAGAATTACAAAACAATTAGAGATTTGTATGACGGCCATCTTGTATAAATGCCTACCGGCTGCCATTTTGATTGTTTTAGTAATAAAATCTACTTATATTGTGTGTACAACTGTAATTGTTAACTTTTTTATATTGAATTGTATTTGTTACTAAATTATCGAAATTACAGAAAAAAAATTACAAGTAGTATTGTGTACATCGGAATACTGCCAGCAAACTTGAACTTAAAGTAAAACATTTTGGCTTTTGTTGTTTACTTTTTAATTTATACAACTCTAATAACAAGTAACATACCAGTCTGCTTATAAGGCGTGAGCTCCAAAATCTTGTTGCCCCACTCTCCAAGCATCTTGTCAAGCGACTGTTCGATGACGTACTCCTTGCTGGCAAGCTCGCTGATTTCCGCGATCAACTCGGCATGGGTGCCCATGCCTTGTTTCAGGCACATTTGGAACGTTTGCTTGTCGTTCATTGTTACCTGTATACCTTAGAAGAAACACAATAAAAGCTTATGTTTTGAGCAATAAGAACAATAAAACATTAAAATGTTAGCATAGTCTGGACTCTGAAAAGACTTTAGAAGATAGCCGTACTCGGAAACTCGGAAACCAATATTATAAATAATATGAATAGAATATTTTCGAACGCTTTTTCCGCTGATTTTGTAACCTGTTATTCGCTGATAAAAACGTTAACGCAATGAAAACAAATTTGATATTGTTATAATGCTACTGCTGTGCTGGACTATAACCGTTTACCAAAAAACCAAAACAAAGTTGCTGTTTCTACACTAGTGTATTTTAAATTCATTGATATTATTAACTGTCTATCGATATCAAATATTAAAATCAACATTATTCCAATAACGTAATGCACAATATCGTAGTTTCAAATATGTGACTTACAACAAGAAGATAGATAATAGATAACAATAAAATATGAAATGAGAAAAACTTTATTTGTGCACTGAAGGATTATAAAAGTAAGATATGCAAATCGTAGCGTCGTCAAATCATTTGAGTAGCGCTATTTCTTTCTCACAGCTTTTGGCTATTGCATAATAGCAATTAGACTTGTGTCTGATCGGTCCGCAGAGGGGGCGATCCTAGTTAGTTCAATCGGTCAACTAAACTGGGTCAGCCTTCTAGTTCATTTAGTTCATTAAGTTCTTCAGCTCGTTAGTTCGTCTTGTCCTTGCTCGGACATTGAACGACCGCTCCAAACTAGCAATTTTATTCACATGAACTACTATGGACTTCTGGTATTATGAGGTCAAAAGTACACTATACTAAATATTTAAAAATACAATTTGTATGGAACCGTATTATTTGATTTTCCTTAATATTTTACAGGTGTAAAGACTGTCATTGTAACTAAATATCTTTTTTTTTACAAAACAAGAACTGCAGTTACAATCGTGAGTTTAAAAATCAATATTTAGGTACAATTATTTCATATACTTGTACAAGTAGTAGGTTGATATTATACATACAGATACCTACCACACCTACCAAAAAATATGAGCACTTACTTATTTGCAAGCTTACATATATACATAATGTAGATACGTATTAGAGATTCAGAACGAGCTTGCAACGTTCAATCGTGTATCCCACTCGAACTTGTACTAAAAGGAGTGAAAAATCGCTATTGACCCTCTCGCACCGTTCCTACTGAATAAAAGACAGGTGAACTATCAACGCAGACAGTTCCTAGTTTGTACTGAACTAAAAAGAACGATGAACTATTAAAACCGCGCAAGACGAACTGGTTCATGTCGGTCAGGGTCGGGAAAATATTCCTAACAGTTTGTAATTCATGAACTATACAATCCTAATAGCAATAACAGCATAACAGCAGAACAGCAATATAACAACAGCAGTTTAGATAGTTGTTCCATAATAACATCGCGTAAGAATAATGTATTACATTATCTGCTATTGTAATAATGACTACCTCTAGGGCTACCATTAGAAATCGACTGTGAACTGGCAATCGGTATTATAGCAATTTTGACAACTTTACAGGATGAAGAAGAAAATTTTTTGCGTCATGTATATAGCATCTAGTTTATTAAATAAAAATACGTAGTTTTAAAATATTTTTGTTACACATGTCGACCCCGACCATTTTAAAGTTACTTATTCACTCATGTAATAGATCATCATAGACTATCTAACCGATATCTAGGATTTTATATTACTCTATGT